TTATTTAGAATAAGGTAAGTAATTAGATTACTGATGTCCATGTAAGCATAGTCATTGTCTTTGACCTTGAATGGACAATTTGCCTTATTTCTAACAAATTGTCTTATTTCTTTATTTATAGCCCACAAAGATATAATTAAAATAAACAATAATATTAAAACAATGTCAAATGGTACATACATTACTGTTCAAAAGTTTGAGGTCGGTATAATTTTTTAAAATATTTTTGAAAGAGGTATCTAATGCTTACTAGGGCTGTATAATTAATCAAATTTCTAATCATGATTACAATTACGGATGCACAATTACATAATCGTTCAAAGCGGCAATTACTCGTTCAAAGTCCACTTGTTATTCTGCGTGCTTAAGATGTGTTTTTTTTTGTTTTGTTTTTATACAGGTTAGCTTAAGGGTTTTTCCATTGTTTAAATTTTAGTTTTAGTATGACATTATAATACCATGCAAATTTAAACTTTTTTTGTTTAAAGAAGAAACCAATCCCATTAATGTATAGTTGACATTTGAGACTTAATACTATAGAAAAGCAATAAAAGTGAGTTCAGCTTCTTTATTTTCATATAAAAATATGGCATGCAGTTGCTTCTAACAATGGTATAAACATCAATGTAAATTGTGGTTTCTGATTAACTCTGGAGCACGTGCACCTGAAAGTGTGACACTTGCAGCAAACAGCCAATCACAAAGAACATGGAAAGCATCAGTTTGATTCACTTTTCGTGAGAGTTGGCACAATACACTTCTCTGCTGAAGATTAAGAGATGTTTTTAAAAAAAATATGAATTTAAATGCATTTACAATGCAGAAATAAACTGCTGCAGGAAAAGTTTGATAAGGCAACATAAATAAAATATGACTATGCAAATGAATCAACTGAATTTAAGAATTTACAGTGGGTATAGAAAAGAATCACCACCCTTTCAAATATCACATTTTGTTGCTTTGCAGCCTAAAATAAAGACGGACAGTTTTTGCTTTAACATCCAAGTGAAAGATATAACACCAACATGTCAGAAAAAAATAAACAGAAATCACTGAGTTGAAAAAAAAAGTATCACCCTTTCCTCAAAATGACTTGTAATCAAACCGACGATGAACATTATTAACAGCAATTATTATATGATGCAATCAAACTTATAGCAAAATGTGGTAGTTCTGTATGTTGTTTCAGGGTTGGCATCATCTGAGGTCCTCTGAGGGGTTGGCATCATCTCTTCTCAGGTGTTCTGGATCCAGACTGAAGCTTGTGTAAATCCTAGTTACCACGGGATGTCAATCTCGGGGCAAAAACAGAGAAATAAATAGAGACATAATTAGCATAGCTGCTGTTCCAACCAAGCAAAATTGATTTTAACCCAAAC